TGTATGCGAGAGAGCGCATAGAAGAACCTCACATCACTCTCTCTCTCTCTCTCATTCAGTCTATCTTTCATACTCTCTCTATCCCTCTATCGCTGGCTCTCTCTCTCTCTCTCATTCTATCTATATTTCTTTCTCTCTCTCTATCTCTCTGTCGCATGTTCTCTCTTTCTTTTATTCTTTCTTTCTTTCTTTCTTTCTTTCTTTCTTTCTTTCTTTCTTCTCTTTTTTTTTTCTTTCTTTCTTTCTTTCTTTCTTTCTTTCTTTCTTTCTTTTCTTTCTTTCTTTCTTTCTTTCTTTCTTTCTTTCTTTATCTTTTCTTTCTTTCTTTCTTTCTTTCTTTCTTTCTTTCTTTTTCTTTCTTTCTTTCTTTCTTTCTTTCTTTCTTTCTTTCTTTCTTTCTTTCTTTCTTTCTTTCTTTCTTTCTTTCTTTCTTTCTTTCTTTCTTTCTTTCTTTCTTTCTTTCTTTCTTTCTTTCTTTCTTTCTTTCTTTCTTCGGACTCAGAAATGAGTTAGAAGAAGAACGGAGCACATATGGGCTGCTACCCGTTTGTCATGATGTTGATCCGTTGTCAAAACTCAAACCTCAACCTAATGAACGGTCGGTGCTCCATACCATTGAGAGAATCAACGCAAGAGATCTGATGCCATATCGCTTCCACCTGAACCAAACTGGTTATTTCAAATTTATGAAACGCGTTCGCAATGTCTAAACTCCAGACACGGAAGAAAAAGTGGATCTTAACAGCTGCCAATATTCCATCTTATCACATCACGATTTTCAGTAAAAGAAAAGCTAAAAAAAAAAAAAAAAAAATACTTTGTTCGTATGGCTTTTTATTTGTCTTTCCCCCTAGGGTAATTCTTTGTCACTAATGGATTTCATTGGACAAAATGAGAAATTTTAATGTTAAAAAAAAAAAAAAAAGCCAGGCTAAGGCAGAAAGCAAATTTATCACAAGCATCAGAAAAATGTGTGTGTGTGTCAGAGTAAGAAAAACAAATGAACCCGTGAAACAAGAAAAAGTTGTGAAAAAAAATGTAGAGGAAGGCAATAAGAAATATATTATTGTCGGGCTTATGATGAGGCTAATCGTATTCAGGGGCGCAGCAGAAAAAAAAATAATAAGATTACACCCCCCACCCCCAAACCCCCATCAATAAGCAATGAGTTTCTGATGTGTTTTTAAGTGCGCAGTAATAAAGATAACAATTACTGTTATTTCTATGTTCTGAATGGCAAAACCGGTAATAAAAATGTGAAACAATATGCAAGTTTTCATATCTTTAGACATTCTGGGTCCTTCTGATCAGAAAGGACAATACTAGGCGAGAAGGTTAAACGGAACCAGTATTGAACTATATCATGAGACAACAGGTCAAATGGTTCGGACATGTAACAAGACAATCAGCAGATAGAGCACCACATTGAGTCCTGTTACTTAGACATAATGGAAGCAGTCAGAGGTCGACCACGCAAGCGAAGGATATAAATAACTGAGGCCGTAAATAAAGGCATCTACGTAGCACATACCAAGGCTCTCACCAATGCCTTTTAAAAACCGGACGCTGAAAGACAAAATAGGGCTAGAGAAGAAAAAGAAGTACTACTAGTAGTAATAATAATAATAGTAGTAGTGTTAGTATTAGTAGCAGTAGTAGTAGTAGTAGCAGTAGCAGTAGTAGCAGCAGCAGTAGTAGTAGTAGTAGTAGCAGTAGTAGCAGCAGCAGTAGTAGTAGTAGTAGTAGCAGCATCAGAAAAAGAAGAGGAAGAAGAGAACGAAAAAGAAGAAGAAGAAGAAGAATAAAAAGAAAAGGAAGAAGAAGAAGAAAAAGAAGAAGGAGAAGAAAGAGAAGAAGAAGAAGAAGAAGAAGAAGAAGAAGAAGAAGAAGAAGAAGAAGAAGAAGAAGAAGAAGAAGAAGAAGAAGAAGAAGAAGAAGAAGAAGAAGAAGAAGAAGAAGAAGAAGAAGAAGAAGAAGAAGAAGAAGAAGAAGAAGAAGAAGAAGAAAAAGAAGAAGAAGACAAAGAAGAAGAAGAAGAAGAAGAAGAAGAAGAAGAAGAAGAAGAAGAAGAAGAAGAAGAAGAAGAAGAAGACGAACGAGAAGAAGAAGAAGAAGAAGAAGAAGAAGAAGAAGACGAAGACGAAGAAGAAGAAGAAGAAGAAGAAGAAGAAGAAGAAGAAGAAGTAGAAAAAAAAAGAAGAAAAAGAAGAAGAAAAAGAAGAAGAAGAAGAGAAGAAGAAGAGAAAAAGAAGAAAAGAAGAAGAAGAAGAAGACGAAGAAGAAGAAGAAGAAGAAGAAGAAGAAGAAGAAGAAGAAGAAGAAGAAGAAGAAGAAGAAGAAGAAGAAGAAGAAGAAGAAGAAGAAGAAGAAGAAGAAGAAGAAGAAGACGAAGAATAAGAAAAAGAAGAAGAAGAGGAAGAAGAAGAAGAAGAAGAAGAAGAAGAAGAAGAAGAAGAAGAAGAAGAAGAAGAAGAAGAAGAAGAAGAAGAAGAAGAAGAAGAAGAAGAAGAAGAGGAAAAAGAAGAAGAAAAAGAAGAAGAAAAAGAAGAAGAAGAGAAGAAGAAGAAGAAGAAGAAGAAGAAGAAGAAGAAGAAGAAGAAGAAGAGAAGAAGAAGAAGAAGAAGAAGAAGAAGAAGAAGAAGAAGAAGAAGAAGAAGAAGAAGAAGAAGAAGACGAAGAATAAGAAAAAGAAGAAGAAGAGGAAGAAGAAGAAGAAAAGAAAAAAGAAGAAAAAGAAGAAGAAGAAGAAGAGAAGAAGAAGACGAAGAAGAAGAAGAAAAGACTGTTTTACTAAGTTAATAATTTTATACATCAACCGGCACACGATAAATGATGAAGTCAACAATGCCCCGATTGCTCTTAGTTCCCATAAATTTATGTCACTCCATTTTAGGCAGGTCTAACCCTGAGCAAATTTCGATTAACAAGGTTACTATGTTTTTTTTCCTATACGTTTGAAGTTTTCTCGTATATGAGTTTGAAGGGAAGAAAAGAGACGACCAGGTTATTTTCACACAGAAGTTTTTAGAGAGACATAAACCAGCTGACCTAGTTATTTTTTTATGAATTTCAAGAACAAAAAGGGAAGTGGAAAGTTATACAGGCACATATTTACAAACACACGTAGGCTATTTTTACACCGCTCCAGCATTACAATATTTATCTAATTAAATACACTTATTTAATTTAATACATAGTAATAGTGTTCAAATTGGGAGCGTAATTTTGCGAATGGTGCGAATTTGGCAGAATGTCGGGTTTCAAATTAGATTTGCCTAACACTAGACGGTGCACTTAAGAAAAGTGTCCAAGATTTTTTAACGCCAATTTCATATTCAGAAATGTGTTCGGCTTGAATGTCAAGACAGTTTTTTGTCAGGAATTTGAAATAAACAGATTTCATGTGGTGGTAGTTTTATGTGAGGGCCTTGAAGCTTTAGGGGTCAGACGTGTGAAAAATATGTTCTTCTTTGTCCACTCATAACAGCCCCTGTAGCAAAGACACATTCGTCGACTGGACAGAGAGACAGAAAGAAGGATTCAACAAGCCACTAACGTTACGTATCAACTTGCTTCAGTCTTACAACACTGACTGATGTTTAACCCCACCAAGACATCACACCGAGCCATTCGGATGACGATCACCCGGAGATAGGTCCCAAAAACCCCGTATAACCAGAACGTTTTGTTATAGTAGGTCCCCCGGCAACAGCCAGGGTGGGGCATTAAAACAACAACATTACATCCTACATTAGAAGGCAATGTATAATACTACTAATACTACGGATGGCTACCGTATGCCTTTAATGTATGTGAATGCTGGTGCATAAGCTGAGACAGCAGTCCGTCAGTCTTTCCACAAGGGACTGTGATGAACATTCTGTGTGTTTTTCGTTGGCACAGGAGCGGAGCAAAGATGGGGTGACCCGTTTGCTTTGAAGCTGAAACTAAGATTACCAGATTACAACTTTCAACGACCCCAGAACATCTAGAACTGGCCCTAACCCAAACCTCCCTACCCACATTCTGAGCCTAGGTCACACGAGAGACTCTTTTCGAAGGAAGCAGTACAACATGACACCCGCCTGACCTAGATCAGACTGAGAAAGTATGTAGATGGGCAGGGAAACGTGAACAGGTCCTTTCTGTTTTATCTTACATGTACCTAGAATTATTACCAACGTCAAATATATTGTTATGTACGGCAAGTGACTTTACATACACAGATTAGCATGGACAGTTACTGATGCCATCAGAACTGGAACTTTTTGCTTGCTGTTGAAGATGGGGACGGAGCACTTATGGGGGTGTCCCGAGTGCTGTGGCATGGAAGCTCATTCGTTTGTGGAGCCTTTCGGCCAGTGTCCAACGAGTCCATGAGTTAAGACAGTCCTGCTACGACTGGCTCGAGCTGACATGTCGTGCTACTGACGTCACCGGGTCCGGCTAACGATTCGTTAACGCAGCGGTTCTCAAACTAGGTGCCGAGGCACCCTGGGGTGCTGTTAGCGAATGACACCCGGAGTGCCGCGGCAATAATCAAGAAAAGTTGGCTAAAAATGGTGAAATTATTAAAGAAGGCATGAAGATACTTAAAAGTTCAAAATTAAAGTTGTCTTCCCCCGCCACTGTCGAAAATAGTTTATTTCTTGTTTGAGAACCGCTGCGTTAACGCATCGTTAGCCGGGCCGGTGACGTCAGCAGCACGGCCCGTCAGCTGGAGCCGGTCGTGGTCTTTTCTCCGCATGTAGACTTGATGTTGGCCCTAAGCTTTACAAACCCTGGGAACTCAACCCTTTACCGTTTTAAATTACATCACTCAGTTTGAGAACACTTGAAAATATTTATACTCTTTTAAAGAACGAAAGAACGAACGAATGAGCGGACTTTATTTATAATAATAATTCAATCCAAACTGGTTATAATACACAACTGATGAAATGAACGTCACAAGTATTCAGTTAAATAAGATATAACGAATACAGCAGAACAAGATATACCATTCATGTCCCTTCTGCTTATGAATCTGCTAACAGCATCGTCCTTGACATTAGGCTTGAACTTCTGCAGATACTCTTTGACCTCACTAAAGGTTGCGGTGCCGTCGTTGTTGTGATCCAAGGAATTCACGAAACGTTTCTTCAGCTCTGTTGAGGAGAAATAAGCAATTAAGATATACTGCCGCTCCCAACAAGTTAATCATTACAATTTTACACACGGCGTTTCGGTTGTGAATCTTTCATCAGAACCATCTGTGATGTAATTACAAAGATAACGAGACAATGGAGTACAAATTTAAAATCGACAGGATCAAACTCAACGTACCGAATTATATCCCATTTTTCTCTTATTACAGGTCGTCTCCTTGTAGGATGACATTTTTTTTTTTGAAAGCCTCACCCTGGCTTCTGCCAGGGGTCCTTAAAATAGCCTAGGCATAGATATGGCCTAGCCATAGAAATGGCCTAACGGCTGTTAAATTTTTATAACGCCTATTATCTTAGACATCACGACATTTTCAGGAAGTAAATTATTAAAGGTAAAAAAAAAAAAAATTCCCTAAAAGGCGAAGAAATAAGAGGACTGTCTGAACAACTGTTTGTATCACAGTTATAAAACAAACATGGCGCTTTATTGGATACAGCGTGAGAAGTAGCAAGTAGGGAATCACAAAACAGGCAATACAATGGAAACAAATTGCTTGAGAAAACGATGACGTCTCAGAAAAAAAAAAAAAAAAAAAATGAAATATCTAGATGTACATTCTGCTAGATGACAAGTTCCCCACACAGAGGACACACGAATCTAAATTTTTATTTAATTTCAGATTTCCCTGCTAGATCAGACATATGGAACTGCACGTAAAAGTGACAATGATCTCAGAAATGATTTTTCAGCTGCTGGACGCTTTGACCAGATTGAAGTGAAGGATTTTTAACTCTGATTTAAATCTCTCTAAGGAATCTGCAGAACGTTTGGCTTCAAGATTGAAAGAAAAAAAAATTACCGACTGCTAAAACAAAGGTTACAGTTTTGCGCAGCACCGAGCAAGCTTTTCGCCCATTAATTTGTAGAGACAATAAATATTGCGTTTTGTACTAATGTATGTGATTGTGTCAACGGAATGGGTTTAATGTGTGCACCAGATGTTTGACGACTAGTCACTGAGAGTTCTAAAAGAAGTTCTTTTACACAAGGATAACATATATTGATCATTTCCTATAGTCTGATCGGCTCACTACACTCAGAGGAAAGGCATGACGGTCATATAACCAGATTTTGACCGGTACCATCAGTTTTAGAACTCTGCAATAGATGCTGAAGATGAGGATAGAGCATGCATGGGAATGCCTCGAGTGCTGTAATGTCAGTTCTTGACTCAACTCAACTTAACATCTGGATCATTTCCAACTGAGTGATACAAACAGACATATCCAGAAATAGGAACAAAGACAAACAGAGAGACATAATTAACAAGCAGAAAACAGACAGTAATGAAAAAGTACAGATATACAATAAACAGAAAGAAAAACAGAGAGGCAGACACATTCAACAAAGAAACTCGCAGACAGCGACGTAAGAACAGAGACACAAGCAATTGAGCCAGTAGATGAAAAAGTCGCCCTAAGAAAACAGACAGGAACGATCTTTGTCCTAGGATGATCGTTTCCTTGTATTTTTAAACGATTTGTGTGTCGTATTTTGTCCCCACGCAGTGGCAGGAAATGTTTATTTGCCTACAAATTGCGAGCTGTCAGAAGGTTAAATATTCCAAGTTTGCTCATGGCTCGGTTGGAAATGACTTAAAAACGTTAAGTAATCCCTGCATCATTTCGCATCATTCCACTCCGCAAAGCCGTTCCAAATTTGAATCGTAGAAATCCAGATTTTTAGAAACAAAATCGATGACCTTAAATTCGATGGCAGACCGTAGATGTTAGAATTTAATGCTATCAATCAAAGACAGCCTAGAAATGTTTGTATAACTGAAGAATTTTTTTAACTGAAGACTCTTATCTCTAAATTAATATAGTTGTCATTATCACGATCATCATCATTACGGATACTTATTTGATAATGCTACAGTTCGTTTAACATCTCATAAACACACTTGCAAGCCATTTTCTCGAAAACTGTCTGTTAGATCGCAACGAAGGTTTGCATGCAGCCTTAAAATATACATGACGCAAAAATTGTTGTATTCTTTAGTCTACAGATGCTCAAGATACTGAATCCAGCCAATTCCTTTGATCTTTTCAAACCATTGTAAATAAGTAGAGTGAACTTTTAGATTTTACAGTAACAAATATGAATTTCGGGTTCAATTTTTTTTTCAAAAGGCACGTTTCGTAATACATTGATAGGTGATGTAAATTTATTTGTTTTCGTTTATAATTAACTAAGTTGAGTTAAGCTTAGTCAAGAAAGACATCACAGCACTTGGGGCATTCCCAAATGCGCTCCGTCCCTATCTTCAGCAGCCACAGCAGAGTTCTAATACTAATGGTACCGGACGCAGTCTGATTATATTTCCATATTGCCGTTCCTTTGAGTGTAGTGTGCCGGCCAGGCCCCCTGGTCACACCCAAGTGTATCATTCTCTCCAGGCCATGATAATCTTTTTTTCTCTCTTCTGACTTCAAAGGCCAAAGGGCCTTGACCATATCTGCCATGTCATGTATCAATTAACCACCCAGGGGTGCAGATCCAGCAAATCCGTCTGCTTTGTTCAATTGTAAACATGTCCTCAATATACAACAGTTATTATTTTGCTTCAGTTAACATTAGACCCCACGGTGTGTCTTAACAGCACAGCAAATTGTATTATGGTTTACACATTTGGGTATGGAGATGTGTTTGTTGCAACTGCAGATGTACTTAAACGATGATATTCAACCACTCATCAAAAAATGCTTTTAATTCATTCTAAATCTGACGATCCCAAAATGTTGATAATTGTTACTGGCTGAACTAAGTGTAATTTATCTCAGTGCCACTACTTGTCTTCCTCTTTTGCACATGTTCAAGACACATTTTTTTTGTCTCCAGAAACGAATGACTTTTTTTTAGAAGGACTCACTTGTCAGCACTTCAACATCACACATTTTAAATGTACTGTTTTTTTTCCGGCAACTTGTCTTTTGACTTTAGCCCAAACAAGCTCTGTCGGGTTGAGGGTGAATGATATGCACGGAGTCGCAGAAAGATGTGGCCGTATTTATTAATGATTTTGTCAGTGTCATACACTTTTGTTTTATTGGTTTTCATCACAAGATGCAACAACTCTGCCTTCAAATATGTGTCGTCAAATTTGAATTTTTCCTTAGCTAACCATGTCCTAATTTAATCTTTCGTATTTGATGTGCTTGATACTTTGTCCGACATTATGATAGGGGGCATTATCCATTATTAGGCATTATGGTTTTGTCCAGAATTGTAAGAAGATATTCTCCATCCAGTACCTGAAAATGTGTCCATTCATTTCAGTGTGGTAGTCCCTACCATCCGCACTTTTTGATTGGAAAATAAGTCCAGTATCGGGGATTAGGTCTTTTTCACTGCTTCCTTCATAAGTGAGTATAATGAGCAGGTCTTTGCTGATTGAAATGTTTCTTTTCTGTTCACAGCTTATTGACTGCCATTCTTTAGCATAGGTATGGTGAATATTAACACAGGATTCATCCAAACATACGATATCATAACCTTGCTCCGTCGCTTTATGGATCTGCTTCAGATATTTGCTTCGACTAGCAATCAAACGTGTCTTTTCACAAATAATATTCTTTCCGCCTACAGTTTTCCTGAAAGTGAACCCAGTGGCTCTTACATTTTGCCACAGACTACTTTTTGAAATATCAATACTGCATTGTGATTTCAATGTTAATTTCAGTTTTCGGAGAGTAACAAGTTGATTTGTCTCTAAAATTTTTAAGAATTCACGTCTAATGACATCTACATAAAAGTCGTAAACTTTCATTTTCCTTCCTTGATTGACATGAATGTATTCTGTGTCCTGTCTAGTCCAACGGTTTAATGATGCTTTGTCCAAAGTTTCAATAGTATTCGTTTCTCTGGGTCATGAATATCCCAATATAAATGACCCGTCTTAGATTCCATGAGAAAATGCTGGTGCAGTAAATCGTAACATTCTGCATAGTTATAAATCTGCATCTTAAATTCATTCTGAAATTGATTTCTATGTCAGGTTTTATAAGCTGGCTATATGACACAATAAATTAACACTAATTTGTTGTTGCAGCTTTGACTAAACAACCTTGACCGACGTCTTATTTTGGCTTCCGGTCACTATAGTGCGACTTTGCACGAGAAAATCATGAAATTACGCACGTTTTCTATGACCCACTGTTAAACCAGTCATAGTGTGCATTACTTCCTGAAACTAATGAAATTAAAACTTCCAAAGGTCTACCAAGACGGTTTCATGGTAAAAATCGTAATGAAGAAGAAACAACTATAAATTCTATTTTTCTTTAGTGAAAAACATATTTCCTTAAAGTCATGGATATTCTAAGGTTGCATGCAACAAATCATGCTATCTAACAGGCAGTTTTCGAGAAAATGGCTTGAATGTGTGTTTGTCAATTGTTGAACGAACTATAACTATTAAATCTGTAACTTATTTCCATTTTTGTAGAAAGACCATTGTCTACGCTTTCAGGCGTATTGGACCTTAACTTCATAGACCTATCGGCACTGGATAGGGAAATGCTACTGGCACCATTAGTATTGCACTCTGCACTGGCTGCTGAAAATGGAGACGGGAAGCTTATGGGAATGCCCTGGTGCTGTGTTGTCGGTTCTTGAATCAATTCAACTCAACACAGTTGATAGGAAGGAAGGAAAGTAAATTAACAGCTATGTTCTGTCTATCTGTCTGCCTTTGTTTTGTCTTTTAACTCTCCCTCCCTTCTTGTGTGCATTGTATGAGTACCTTGATGGTTACTTATACATCAAATGATTTTCTATTCTTCTATCCACTGTTTGTGTCTTCTTTGGTTTAAATAATCTTCTTGTCATTTTTTCCGGCAAAATATAATCTTCATTGATGATTACAGTCTCGCTGCTTTCGGCTTTACAAGCTGGTCCATCTGTGATCTCAGCCGAAGACCCCCCCCCCCCCCCCCCCCCCCCCCCCCCACACCACCCCCAAACCCAATGCTGGAAGCGTGCATACCAGGCTAGCTGCTGGTAAGCGAACAGAGCACTGAAATGGGACACAAATGGATCAAGGAAGCGAGAACGTAAGCGACTTTAAGGATGTCTCGACAAATGAACTGGGCGAGAAGTCCCCTTGATATAGATGAAACTATGTTTAGTCACTCTTCGGGGCTTTTTTTTCCCAATGCCCACTTTCCTGATGATACACAGTACCAACATATTTTTTTTTAGGGATGATTGTTTTCAGTGCTACTATACCAGACACTCCGTGGTCCTTACCAGCACTTTTCAAAGACACTTTGTGGTGCCTTCTAGCACTTTTCTCCTGGGAAAAAAATACTGTTACTGCCAAGTACTGCCTTTGTTATTATACCACTTTTGCGGTGTAGGCGGGAGGGGGGGGGGGGGTCTTTGAGCCTGAGGATTTACGGCCGCATGGCTAGTGCTGTCACCACGACTGCGCAGCTGAGGATTTTATTTTGCCCCTGACAAAAAAAAAAAAAAACCGTC